CCCCAAAACCCCAAAACCCCAAAACCCCAAAACCCCAAAACCCCAAAATTTAATAATTTGGTTGAAATTGTGTGATAAATTTATAGTTTGAGTTTACCAAAACCTTCTTTGCCATCACCTCTGAGTCCCTTTGAGTTTTCAAACTTGTAATGGTCTTCATTAACATCAAGTTGGTCATGGATCTTTGTCCATCCTCCTTGGTTGTTCACATGATAAACTCTGACTACACCTCCTGAGGCTGAATCTTTATGTGTAGCACTAGAGATAGCTCTGATTCCAAGAGCAATAGCCTCCTCAGTAGTGAGATCCCACTTGTAGTTTGTATCCAAAACTCCATAAGCAAATGGAGATCCCGAACCGACTGAGAAGAGTTGTCCTCTGACTCTAGTCGCGTCATTATCAACATAGAATAATTGAGCCCCCTTCTTGAGGTCACTTCCTGCAACCATAGTTCCCATGGAAAGACCATATCCTCTGTAAGAGTAGCAAATGTCTGCTAAGATTTTAGATGCAGCAGCAATTGAGATCTTCTCTGAGTTTCTGAGCTCATAAATTCTGCACTGCATGGCTAAATAGCGCTCCCAGAATTGACAATCGGCAGCTCCTCCAGCCATTGTTCCTAGGAGGTATTCATTGATCTCGATAACTTTTCTAACCTTGTTCGAAGCAATGAAGGCTCCCTGGGTTGCTCTTGCATCAACTGCAACAATGATTCCATCTTGGTATTCAAATGCAAGAGTGGTTGTACCGTGCTTGAAGTCAGCAAGTTTTGGACCGAGGTGTTTAAGGCTTCTAGCAAACTCAGAAGGACACTCATCAGGAGCAAGTTTGAAGCAAAATCCTTCACTCTTTATTTCTCCGATATCTTCATTAATATCAGCTTCTTCAAAATCTGCTTCATTCTGGTGAATATCAAGTCCAAGGGTTGGACCCATGAGCTCGATTGGAGCTTTAGTGAAGAAGTCTGGCTCTCCAAATTCAGGTTGGTCTAAGAAGTCAAGGTCGTTTCCAAAGTCCATTTTTATTAATGTTTATAAAAAATCAACTAAATTCTTCACATGTGGGGTTTTGGGGTTTTGGGGTTTTGGGGTTTTGGGG